GCCTATGATACCATGCCTCACACATGGATCCTGGAATGCTTGGAACTGTACAACATCAACAGGACTCTAAGAGCCGTGATCAAGAATTCAATGGGAATGTGGAAAACAACCCTAGAGCCCAACTTCAAGCCAACTGCACAAGTCAACATCAAGTGCAGTGTCTACCAAGGAGATGCTGTTCTGTCCCCGCTGCTGTTCTGCACAGGGCTGAACCCCCTCAGCCAGATCATCACCAAGAGTGGTTACGGATACCGACTACGGAATGGAGCAACCATCAGCCACCTCCTCTATGTGGATGACATCAAGCTGTATGCCAGGAGTGAACGAGACATCGACTCACTGATCCACACCACTAGGATCTACAGCCAGGACATCGGAATATCATTTGGACTGGATAAGTGTGGTCAAATGGTAACAAGGAGAGGAAAGATAGTCAGGACTGAGGGGATTTGAGGTTTTGTTTGTTTGTTTGTTTTACCCATTTTTTAGGTGTTTAATTAGAGTAATGTTCTAGTCATGTTACCCTCGCAACAGGTCAAAAATATGGTTATAAACCTATATCCTAATATCCATTGGTTGTGTGCAGTAGTTGTTAGATGAACTACATCAATAATTGAAAAATATTTTCCAAAAATGCCAGGTTAATGATCTTTAATGTTGTACATGTCTCTGTTCTCCACAGTTTGCGTTCTCTACACACAAGGCATGGGCAACAAGGAGTGGAGAGAGGTGAGTGTGTGTATCACAGAGCAACCAAGGAAGTTTGCAACCCAACTCACAGTGCCAATGCTAATTTACTTATGTTTATAAGGTTTCATTTTTATTATGTTTATCATCTAGTTTGGAGTGTTAGCATGTTAAAATTTGGTAAACACAGTTATAATCCTCACATACATTAGATTTGCATATGGTCATAACCCAGATTTCTCTACCAGGTTTTGTGATGATCCATCCAGCAGTTGTTGAGTCTGTCATAACTAGAACAGTATGGCATTTCTAGCATTTCTAGTAGTTTTTTGGAAGCGAAGTAGTCATGTGTTGGTTGGTGAGGTTATATTTATCACTAGAATACTGTAAATAAAAAATACACACAGAGGTTATTATGTAATACTACTATGTAAAACTTTACTACTGGTTTGTGGACTGTTCATCATTAAATTGTTTTACCATAAAGATAGTTGATCAATAGCAGTATAAGCATTGAAAATACCTTAGAAAAAATCAACTGGACCTAGATTTCTAGATCAAAGACGTTTCACCTCTCATCCAAGAGGCTTCATCAGTTCAGTTCTAAGTCCAGTTGATTTTTTCTAAGGTTTTTTTCAGTTTACTATGACCTGGATGACTGAGAATCTGCACAGACAGTATAAGCATTGCTCACCTCGGGGTTTGTTCCTGCCTGTCCTTCCTAATTTCTGTCCCTACATTGATGCTTGCTGATACTACTATTACTTCTCTCTTCTTGTTGGCACTGTTCTCCCTCTCTTGCTTGATTCTGCTCATTTATTTTCCTCTTCTCCCATGCTATACTTTTTATGACAATTTTATCTATCTTGTCAACTTAGCCGTCCCTGGTAGGCTAGTGGTTAAGGCGCAGAGCTCTCGCTGCTGCGGCCCGGGTTCAAATCAGGGTTGTGTCAGGATGGGCATCCGGCATAAAACACGTGCCAAATGTCAACATGCGAGTCGTCAGTGTGACAAATCGCTGTGGCGACCCCTAAAATGGGAAAAGCCGAAAGTGACTTTCTTTCTTATCTATCCTGTCAACTTCTTTTTCCAGAATCTAGCACCTGCTATTTTCCGTATATACTATATTTAAATTTTTTCCTGCTAAAAAATATTGAATATGATTAACTCAGTATTGTATATAGTATGATTGCGTTACTGTGGAATGTGGCTGATGTGCAGTATCAATAACTGGAGATTTGGCACACATTACAATGCTCTTTTTTTATTTAATAGTTTATTTGCCAGGGACAGTGGACGTCATGACCCAGGACTGCACTTTAAGACTTGTTTTCTAGAATAATGGGACAAAATTACACCTGACACGTTTAATCACTTGGTGTCCTCAGTCCCTAAATGTCTTTTAAGTGCTGTGAAATAGAATGGCAACAGCACACCATGGTAAATGCTTTACTGTCCCAACTTTTTCTGGGATTTGTTGCAGTAATCAGAATTGAAGTAAGTGTTTATTTTGAGCAAAGAGTAAAGTTGATGAGGTATCACAATGAATAATGTGCTGCTTTGTTGTTTTCAATGTAATACAGAACTCAGATGATTTACAAATCACTGGTTCAGTTTTAATTTAGATTTTTCATACCGTCACAACTTTTTCTGATTTGGGGTTGTATGCCATCATACACAAAAATTAAATGTAACATCATTAATCAACAAATAAACACTAACCATCACACATTAATACTAATGTTAAAATTATATTACAGGTAATAATAATTTAAATTACTTTTAGACTACATTACACACACAGATGTATCCAAAGCTTACTAAAATTATCACAATACACAGTGATCACATGCTTGGCTCTTTTTTAGCCAGGTCTTCAATTGCAGCTTAAATTGAACAAAGGTAGGACATTGCCTTATAGTAGTTGGCAATATATTACATATATTTGCAGCTCCTATAGAAAAAGCTGATGGACCAAAATCTGTAAATTGTAAACACAATCACACCTTGAGTATGCTCTCATTTGCTTTGTGTTATCTGAGCACAATGACACAAATTCTTTCAAGCGAAATTGACAGTTTTGTACTATAAACAACAAGAAGTATAATTGATATTATCAAATGTAAGAAAGGTATACTTTTTAATTACATGACATTGATGATATATATATATATTTTTTATCAAATATTTTAATGCTCTTTTGTATTGACTATGCAAAGGTCTCAGGATGGATTTTCCTGCCCGCAACCATGATGTAATACAATATGAGAAATTAGAAAAAAATCATTGCATACAAATACACTTTTGCTGCATCCACTGAGAGTTGGTTCCTTATGAATTTCAAATTTCTGAGGTTGACTCTTAACTGCACAACCTACTTTTAACATGCTTTTAATATGTCAAATGTAAGTCTAATATGATTCCAAGATACTTAAAATCTGCCACAATTTGTAATTTTTCTCCTTTTACTAAAACATCAGGTTGGACTTCTTCCTTTTTTAATTGTAAAAACATGCAAGCAGTTTTTTTTTTTTTTGCATATTTAAAGTGAGACATTGTTGTATGAGCCAATTACAAATGTTTGTCACTGCCACATATAACTTAGATGCCACCTGCTCACTAGTTTTAGCATGTACATAAATAACAGCATCATCTGTATACATTTGGCTATGTACATCTGGGCAGACATCAGGGAAATCATTCAAATACAAACTAAAATGTAGGGGCCCAAAGAAAACCCCCCGAGGAACCCCAGTAGAACAAACTCTCAATGGAGACATATTTGTTTCAGCTGGAGTGCATTGTTTTCTCAGTCAAGTATGATTCGATCCATTTTAATGTGTTACCTGACAAGGTAAATAGGTAAAAATGTGATAACTTGGGTAAAAGTACATTGTGAATGACCATACCTCATGTAAATCTAAAAACACAGCTCCTACCACACCACCTCTATCTAATTTTGACCTGACTTGCTCAATAAAATAATGGCAGTTTCCACAGAAGAATATTTATCTAATCCAAATTGCATGGGGTACAATAAATTATGTTGTGCACTAAGAAATTTGACTAGTTGCTCTGTTACTACCTTTTCTGCTACCTTAGATACTACTAATAAGATTGAGACGGGCCTATAATTGACAATATTGGTTGGTTCACCAGATTTAAAGACTGGAGTAATTACCCCTGTTTTTCTGAAATTTGGAAATATGCATTGTCTAACTGAAAGATTTACAAGATGAATAATGGGAACGGAAAATGTATCTTTATTGTTTTTCAAAAGACTACAGTCAAATAATTTCAAATTTATAAATCACCAAATGTTGTGACACAAAAAAGGTTATAGCCACTTACTCTGATAATGAGCCTTACTTTGGTTGTGCTGGTAAAAAACAAAAAACAAAATAGAACAAAAAAATACAGTAGGCAGAACTTGTATTTCATCATGTGTTCATTCACATATGACTGTAATACAATCTTTGATTGTTTCACTGTAATGAATATTAATTGGGTAAATCTTTCAGCCCCAGTCATTTTCAGTTATGCATAGTTCTGAGTAGCCTATCATCTGCAAGCATTATTAATAGACTAAGTTAAATGTCAAACCAGGACCTACCTGATTCCCACTGACTTGTTCCTTCAGCTGCTCTGCATTCATTGCTTCAAAGCTGTACATAATCTTATGTAACCAGCCTCTCACCCAGTGTACAGTATCTCCTGAGGAAAACCTGCTGGTAATTAGTTATTCATGAGTCACTTCAAGGAGTGCTTTCAAAAATCCGATTTGTGTATGATCAGAGCATAAGGTTTTGTGAACTGCCAAAATATTAAAAGACAGATAGTGCTTCACTTCAGCTTGGATATTTTCATTGATTATCTAGACTTGTAGCATCTAAACTGCCACAATTTCATGGTCCACTATTTAGAAAATGCAGAAATATATTCAAAATAGTTAGCCTTATAATTGCTTCAAAATATTTTCTTATCTCTCTTTTGTCTTATTTCCTTTGTCTAGTTCGGGAGGACAGAGGTGATTGACAACACACTAAACCCAGACTTTGTGGGGAAATTCATTTTGGACTACTTCTTTGAAGAACGTCAGAACCTCAGGTTTGACTTGTAAGTAAGGTCTACATCAGAGTCTTTCTTTTTCATTATTTGTTCCTAAAATACAGATTTGGCTTCCATGAACCATTAGCACTTTTCTGACATGCACTGGAACCTTTAAAACCATCTATACATTACCTGAAGGAGCTGTATGTGAGAACACAAATATCCAAGTAAATTGGCCTGGACCTAAAGTCAATCTCAGCCTATCACCTCCCAACTACAAAGTCCGCATAATGTTCAGGTGAGCAAGAGTGAGCCCATGTAAGAAAATAGCCATGTGTAGTCCAGAGTATTGACTGCAGAATCACATCAACCCGGTGGGCATGTTGATGACATTCTGTCATGTGACTGGAGTGAAACCGGAAGAAAACAAACATTCAGTGGTGAAGAAGAATGGTCATTTACAGTGAAGACACCAACAATAACTGGAGAAGTGATGAGATTCTGGAACTTTTCTCATTAAGACCTGGCACCCAAATTTAAGGAACGGCAAAGGGACTCTGTTATTCATGACAAAACTACAAACTGGTTACGTGACCGTGCGGGATATTGTCCAGAGTTCATGTGTGAAAACAACTACTGAGAAGTGCCAGATTTTTTTATTTTTATTATCCATCCATCCATCCATCCATTTTCTTCCGCTTATCCGGGGCCGGGTCACGGGGGCAGCAGTCTAAGCAAAGATGCCCAGACCTCCCTCTCTCCAGACACTTCCTCCAGCTCCTCCGGGGGAATGCCAAGGCGT